GTCCAGAGATAGTGTGAAGGAGTAGGGAAAGGAGACTGGCTTAGCTTTTACTGTAGTTAGGGGATGGGTCTAGGGTGTGGGTTCCTGTGCATGGCCCAGGGATGATGTGGTTTGAACTTCCCACTGGCACCAAAGAGGGCAGCATCTGGTGTTTCTTATCAGCTTGAGGGGCAGAAAAGGAAGGGTGGTGATGGGCCTTAAGAGCTGTCAACAATCAAACATCATAAATGGAATCAGATTCTTTATTACAACTGTAGAAAACATGAAAGATAAAGAAATCCTAAAACAGAAATTAAAATTTTTGGTAATCACCCAATCTAGATACATTTACATTTTTTCTGTCTGGATTATTCTTGGTAATTTAAAAATCCTAGAACTTGATTTTTCTAGCTACACTTTAGCTTTTATGAATCATCATAAGCCTCACATTTTGTGTGTTGAACCAAAGAGAAAAAGCTATTTGGATTATAAATCTTCTGGAAAAATCAAATTGTTTTATGGGCTTTCCTCTTTTAAATTGCAAGCCATTTAAGATTATCCATTGTAATGTTTAACAAATAATATCGGTTTCAATGTATTGAACAAATGACAGTATAACTTCTGTTTGGAGCCAGAGAATCAACATCAGTCAGCCAGACAAAACCCATACTTAAATGATCTGAAGTGTTTGTATTCTTTTTAATCTTATTGATTGCCCATTTTTAGAGTTATTGTGTTTCATATTTCGATCTTTGTCATGCACTTTTTCTTTTTTTACTGGGCTGAATTTGGGTTAAATTGACTCTAGAGGACACTAAATGTAGTCTAGTTTTAAGAAATAACTTTTTTCCTCTTCATGGAAAAGATTACTCAAAAAATAGAAAATTGAAGCTTCCCTTGTCTAGAATAATGTAAGTTATTTAACAAAAAACCATGAACTTGTTGATGGCACAAATACAAGGTGCATTAATCAAATACTGAAAGTATTTTGTTTATATTTTAAAGGGTCTAATACATTAATCAAACCAGAAAAATTCCTAAAACTATTCTGGGTTATAAAGTTTAAAAAATTGAAAATATAAACTCTGTACATATATTCTAGAAACAGTTCTAACTGGCTTGTAGTAAGTCAAATGAAGCTTATAAATATGCCACTTAAGAAAAATTCTGTCATAAAATTACATTTATCCATTTATTTATTTATTCACAACATGGTTGTTAACTGCCTAGATCACAATAGTGACTGAAGTACAATCCTCAATTCAAGGAACTTTCACTCTAGTGGGGATAGCAGACAATTAAGCAGTCAAATACAATGGAGTGTGATATATATTGGGATAGAACAAACCAGAACCATGCTATTAAGTTTGTTGAAGGACTTATTGTTCCATAATACTCACTTTTCGTTAAGCTGTGTGACCTTGGTCTTTTTTTTTTTTTAACCTCTTTGACCTTTAGTTTTCTCTTCTGTTATATTTATCTGATTATACATGATTTATTGATTTTTTTTGGGTAAAGATTAAATAAAAAATATGCAGAGTACTGAGCACAATGCTTGTGTATATTAAGTGCTTGGTGAACAGTAGTTATTATTATCTCAAAATCCTGATCGTTGTACAAGTATTCATTTTAAAAAGACTTTTGAAATATCTTAAAATTGGTAAGGGTGAAATACAATTTAATTATGGTTTGGTTATGTCACTTACTCCCTTATACCAAACCCTTGGGTGGTTTTTTATTACTTATATAATAAAGGCCATTTACTTTTCTTGTATTTTGAGGCCCTCAATAATCTATCTCTCAAGGGGTGCCTAGGTGGCTCAGTCGTTAAGCATCTGCCTTCGGCTCAGGTCATGATCCCAGGGTCCTGGGATTGAGCCCCTCATTGGGCTCCCTGCTCAGCGGGAAGCCTGCTTCTCCCTCTCCCACTCCCCCTGCTTGTGTTCCCTCTCTTGCTGTCTCTCTCTGTCAAATAAATAAATAAAATCGTTAAAAAAAATAATCTATCTCTCAAGGTCCCTTTTTCAATAGGCTCTGCATATGCCTCTTCAGCTATTCCTTAAACATAATCTATACTTCACTGCTTCTCTTCCTGTACTCTTACTCTCTAATAATAATAGAAACTAATATTTTTTTGAGCACTAGGTAACAGGCACTGTGTAAAGTACTTTCCATGTACCATCATATTTAAAATTTATAGCATCCTTATTATGTACTCTTATGTTATCCTTGTTCACAAATGAGAAACTAGACCAAGTCATACAACTAGTAAGAAAGAGTGCCAGAATGCTGACCATCATATTGTGTTGCCAATTCTTAACTGTTGTACTCTTCTGCCCTCACCCAATCTGCTTGATGAGATTAATTCATTCTTCATGGCATTCTTGCAGTTACAGCTTCCGTAGAGATCTTCTCCCCTTGTCTTAGCTAAAGTTAACCTTTTGATACCACATACACCTTGAGCATAAGTTTAAACCTATGTTACAGTGTCCATCTCATTCTACTTTCTATTCCTGTTCTTCATGTAAATATTTCCTGAATGCCACCAAAACAACCTAAGAGTGGGTACCGTGTCTTAATTGGTTTTGTGCTCCTTGAGGGGCGGGGTGGGCATACAATATGTTTTATACTTCAGAAACAATCAATAGGTGTTTTTGGAGTTAAATTCAGTTACACTAAACTGTTCATCTGAGCTCTGAAAATGTTATATTATCCATGTTAAAGTGTCTCTAATGAGAATGGACTCAGACAGCAGAAGAGAACTTGTTAGATTTTATAGATTGTACAGATCAGTATGGTAAATTTTGTGTTAAAGATAAACACTTACCCTCAATAAATATGTGTTCAAAAAGTAGTGGATGATGTAAGGATTATAAAGGTCTCAATAGTACTGTTCTAGTTTCAGTAGTTCATGCTAGGACAATTACATTCTTCATGCCCAACCAGACTGAAATGTTAGACAGTAAACTTTGAGAGGCAAAACCATACTTGTCTTGATTACTAAGAATCCCCAATTCCTAGAACTGTGCCTGAATGGAGTAAGCCTTCAATTGATATTTATGTAGTTGACATTAATTAAACGTTTAGGCAACTTAAATCTTTGAGGAACAAATGGACTATCACTAAGTCAAATGATGAGTCAAATAAGGATATAATTCCAAAGACTACATTGCTTAAAATATGCCATTTAACTGGTAACTTTCCTTTCTTTTTATATTGTTATTCCAAGCTGGCAATTTAGATTATTATAATTCACAAGGTGTATATTCAGTTTTGTTTCTGAGTTATTGTCAAATGTATAGCAAACCAAAATGGAACATAATCATTTATCTGCAAGATTGCAATAACTAATTTTATGACTGCACCTTTCTCTTTGCCTGTCTCATATCTATAATCTTTTGTGCAGTTTCTGGAGCTGGACTCAGTGTAAATCCTTATCTGAAGGCTACACTTCACCACCAGCTTCCTTTGGAGTGAGCCTGGCAGCACCATTTCTAGTTGTGAAACTGACAAAATTCTGAGAGATAACCAGATGCATCAGTTACTTTCATCATTTATAAAAATAGGACTTTGAGCAGAACTTTTCCTGTGGCCCAGAATTACAGTGTGAGGACACAAGAGTAACAGGTCATTTTAATGATTTTTCCTAAAGAAAATACCTTTGTGGCATAAGAGTAGCATGATTTTCTTCTCTGACAAAACAATAACTCTGGGATTCAAGACTACTGCCTCCTGATGGAGTGACCACTGTTATCTGCTGGCTGGGGGAAGGTTTCACCACCTTGTCTCAAGTGAAATTGGGAGGAGAAAAGACAGGAGGATAGTGAATAAAAAAGAGTGGAAAGATGGATTTCTGGTCTAAGAAACCCTGTTCTCTTTTTCCTTGTTATCTTGAGGTTTTTGTGAATGTTCATAAATAAACGCATTTACTGAAACATTTCACAACGAAGACTAATGCAATGAGTTCATTGGAAACCCCAGGAAATATGAAATAGCAAAGGATTTCTCTCTTCGCCCTTTTAATTTGGTATGTGCTTCCCTGGCAGGTAGCCACATACTGCCTGGAGAACAGACTCTTTCAAACTGTCTTGTGGGAGCTTGTGGGTCCTCATTTATCATCTGGTTGTAGTCACAGAAGTGAAGAGCCAGCAGAAGTGAAAATAGAACTCTTTCCAAGTCACTGGAAGCCCCCCAAGAGTCCCTGGTAACAAATGGGAAACAGCAGCTAGAAAATGGATTTCTTGTAAAGGCAGACTCTCTAGGAGTCATTAAAAAGTTTCCATTTTCAAGTTCTGTCATCTAATGACTTTTTTTCCCCCCTCCAGAACATATATAAACTACCCACATTGTCATCAGGTATATTAAGTTTAAGTTAGATGTTTGCATTTTGTAATACTTAGAAAAGTCATTTCTTCTACTAAATGCTCTGCAAACAAAAAGCTACTTCCCATACCACGGACTATGTTATGGAAAGCTGTCTTCTAAGATTTTAGGACTTGATTGTTTAATTAAGAAGTCTGAGATAGTCTATATAAGCTGTAGTTATTGGATTCAGACCTTGTAGATTTCCGGATATCTTTAATAATCTTGTTTGTTTAGCTCATTTGTGATTTTCTTTTCTTTTTCTCTGGGCTCACAGAAAAACATATGAATAAGCAATTTATTGAAAGAAGATGATCTTATAAAAATGATTCTGAACATTAGCCTATTATCATTATCATTCTTTGAACATGAACCTTAAAGATTTTTTTTTCCATTGAAAATTTTTTGGTGTTGTGTTGCCTTTAATAGAGAAATGTCCCACTGTCCTTGGCTTACTTATTCCTCCACCCCCACTCCATCCCTCGACACCTCCTTCACCCCATGGAGTCTGCTGCCTCTATCATCTTTCTGTGGTGCTGAATGTATATAGCTTCTGAAACACTTTGGAATGAAAGGTGCTATGAAATTGTAAAGTGTTTTTATCACAGAGTTCTGCCAATATGTCTCGATCTTGACGTGCAACACCTCTGCTATTTCAGTGTTGTGACGGGGACACAGCTGGTCCTGAGAAGGCATCATACTCAGACAAGCATGTGAGATTGCATTCATTCCTGTTGGTGAGTCCTAAGCTTTAGAGCATCTACCACATTAAACATATGTGGGCAATACATAGAAAGAAGGTTAGTGCTTTGCTACTTAAAGTGTGGTCTATGACATCACCTAAGAATTTGCTAGATATATAGGACCTCAGGCCCTGCCTCAGGGCTTCTGAATCAGAATCTGTATTTTAACAGGATCTATGCTTTGCCTAGTTTGAGTTAGGTTTCTGCCACTAACAGAGGAAGCAAAGGTTCTCTGTAACACCCATAGCTGTAAGAAAAGGAAGGTTTTTGTGAGAGGATTAAGCTTGCAAGTTCAAGTATTAGCTTATAACACAAGAAAACTCAAAGCAAATTCTGTTGTTCAGCATTTTATACCCTAAACTCTCTAGCCTTCTTTCTTTGTATATAAGAAGAAAAAATTCTCATGAGATTTTTGAAAGTTTTAAATGAAAAAATGAATATAAACACCAAACATGGTGACTTACATATAGCAAATAGTCAACAAATGTTATAGACAATTTTTATTATTACTATTATTATTATTATTATTTTTATTTTTATTATATCTCCTTCGATGGGATAGACTCCCTTTAGGCCAGGGATCTGAATTCTACTTTACCCTTCTGAGTCAATAACTGGCTTGAGTTCTGTAATGCATATTTAGCTAGTTTTTTTTTGTTTTGGTTTGGTTTGGTTTGGTTTGGTTTTTTCTGGTAGACTTTATTTTCTCCTTAGTGAGAAGAACAACAAAAGATACTCAATCTGGGTAGGAGCTCTAGGTGCATAAAGGGTTACAGAAAACTCCTTTTGGATTTTCTCTTCTACCTCAATTCTGTTCTTCTGTACAGCCCACTGGCCATGGGTGTGGATAGCAACTCACAGCTAATAGCTTATAATGACTCCTCTTTTGGTGTCATTGGCCCCCAGGAACATTCTCAAATAGTTTTTGTTTCACTAGCTAGAAGCCTCAGGGTATTTTTCTAGAATGCTCACAAAGAAGTCTTCCTTGATTATTGGATTGTTAGTTTTCAAAGTAATAACTCCTTTGAGGAAATTGTTAAAAGCCCTTTTGCCTTGGGCAAATGAGCATATGACACCATATTTCTGATTGTTACTTCAATTTCTTTCTATGTTTCCTTAATATGAGCATATACACGTTGACTCTTTGGCTTAAATTAGGATACATCTTCCCAAGAGGGCACCTACAGGTTACTGTAAGGTAGCCTCTATCATTGACTTTAGCCAAAGTCTGAGTTCAGTAGTTGAGCACTTGCTGGTATCCTCAAATGCTTCTTTATGTGTTATTCATAGGGCAATGGTGACAACTTGGTAAATCGAATTAGTAGGTTTTTTTTTTTTTTTAAAGATTTTATTTATTTATTTGACAGAGAGAGACACAGCGAGAGAGGGAACACAGGCAGGGGGAGAGGGAGAGGGAGAAGCAGGCTTCCCGCAGAGCAGGGAGCCTGATGCGGGGCTCGATCCCAGGACCCTGGGATCATGACCTGAGCCGAAGGCAGATGCTTAACGACTGAGCCACCCAGGCGCCCCTGAATTAGTAGTTTTTAAGAGAAGATATTAAATTAAAGTTTGATACTTATTCTGTGCTGCACTTTCCTCTCTTATAGAATAAAAAATGTTTTAAAATTAATGATTCTAAGGGTGCCTGGATGGCTCAGTCGGTTAAGCATCTGCCTTTGGCTCAGGTCATGATCCCAGGGTCCTGGGATCGAGCCCCGCATCCGGCTCCCTGCTCCTCGGGGAGCCTGCTTCTCCCTCTCCCACTCGCCCTGCTTGTGTTTCCTCTCTCGCTATATCTCTCTCTGTCAAATAAATAAAATCTTTAAAAAAATAAAATTAATGGTTCTAAAAAAAGTAGAAAAAACATCTTCTGAATCAATAAATACTAATTAAAGTTTGCTTAAAATTGTTTTATTATTGTGTGTATTGGATTATGTGATGGTATGGTAATGGAAATTCCATTTTCTTTTTAATTTCATGCATATTTGTTGATTGACTAGTTTATATGACACCCAGTGCTATAGGAGATACAAAGTTGAATGATTTGATTCTTGCCTCCAGATGTTTAAACTTTTAAATAATCTGACATATAACCATGTCACATCAAAGAAAGCTTACCCTGGTATATACCTATGTTGAAGGAGGTCATCAAGAGGACAGGACCACCAGTTGACCCTCAAGTTGGATCCAGGCACTTGGAGACTCCTCACCCTCTCCCGTATACTTAAAGGCTGCCTCAAGGACACAGCCTTGAGAAAGTAATGTGTTGTTGAGACCATATTCTGTGACTGAATCCAGTTAAGGCCTCTATATAAACTGTAAAGATTCTGGTAGGTGGGGTGTAGAGATGTACTCATCTTGTGGCCACCCAAGACAAGCCTTATAAGTAAGTTCCCTTGCTAAACCTGCCACCTACCAATCTGGAGTGTTCTGCCTTTTTTCTTTGGTCTCTCCTTGCCCTCCATGCACCGGGCCAGTTTCAGATTTCACCCGGGAAATTCCCAAGTTTTTGAACCAACAACCTACTGCTATAATGCTGGAGTAACAATATAATAGACATTCATACAGACTTTTAGATAATGCTCTTTGGACTTACTACTTCCTCTCCTATCATTAGCATCATGGGGACCTATAACATACATAGTTTTGTTTATACTGTGGTTCTTTTTAATTGTTAAGTACAACTTGGGAATTATAAAATTGAGGGGAGAGACACTTTCTTTACAGGCATTCTATATAATGTAGATAAGTAGATAATATGTATGAGGTATGTGAGTAGTATACATGTTAACTAATTATTAGCCAAAATGGTTGGAGGCAGAGTATGGTATAGTACAGTGTCTCTCAAACTTTTATTTTATTATTAACCTCCTAAGTAGAAAAATAAAGTTAAATTTAAATTTTTTTCAATAAGAGAAATTAAATATTAAAGAATAAGATTTCATCAGCAAAGTTGAACTTTGGAGGGCCAAAACCCATTGTAATATGTGAGAATCTTTTGATCTTCACTTTCTTTAATTTTTATTTCCTTGGAGGTGATATTATCTCCACTGAAAATGTATGGCATAGTGGAAAGAATAGGTTTTTTATTTATTGATTGATTTTTTAAAAGATATTTATTTATTTATTTGACAGAGAGAGGGAGGGAGGGTGAGAGAGCACAGAGGGAGAGGAGAAGCAGACTCCCTGCTGAGCAGGGAGCCTGAAATGGGGCTCTATCCCAGGAGCCTGAGATCATGACCTGAGCTGAAGGCAGCTGCTTAATCGACTGAGCCACCTAGATGCCCCAGAATAGGTCTTTTAGTGTCAAACAGACATGGATTCAAATACCAGCCCTGCCATTTATTAGTTGATGGCATTGGGAAAACAACCTAAACTTTCTGACCTTTAGTTCTCCATGTACGAAGTGAGAATAATAATAGTTGTGAGGATTAGATAAAATGTTGGCAAAATGCTTGGCATTTTAATATGTGGTAACAATTACTAATAAGGTTAATTAGTCTGAATATCATTCTCTGACTTTGTCAGACAATGATGAAAGTAAATATCTAAGGTGGTATGTTAATCAATATTCCTATAGACCAGTAGTTTCCAAATTTGGTTGCACATTGGCATCATCTCAGGATATATTAAAAATCTCCAAGCTCAGGCCACACTGGGACCAGTTGATTTGCAGTCTCTGGGGTAGAAGATAGGCATTGGTATGTTTTTAAATCTCCTAGATGATTTCAATGTGAAGACAAGTCTAAGAATCACTGCTTTAGATAGTCAGTCTAAAGTTTGAAGATAGCTAGATAGCTGTAGCATTCACCTCAAGGACATGTTACCTGAGATTTAAAAATAAAATATCATAGAGTAGTCGAAGGAATTGCAGTTGCTTGGGATTATCCTAACACTAAATAAATTGCTATTAGAAGAATGCTTTTTTAAAAAATTAAATAAAATATGTTAATAACATATGCCTTAAAAACAGGTAGTTTTGAGTTTCAGAAAACCGTAAGTAAGTAACCCCACAGGGTTCACAGTCTTTGTGGCATGTGGTATTTCTCTTTGTGAAGGGAAAGGCATATTTTCCAACTTGAGGCATACCAGAGCCTAGACAGCATGTCACAGCTAAGAAGTAGGCTTATGATATACTTTTCCTTTTATTGAGAGACATGTCACATGTCACAAAATATTGTGGCTTAACTATAACTAATTGACATTGACCAGGTGAAGGAAAATATTCCATTTTAATAAGAGTGAGAACAAATACTATGTTTTGCATGTCACATACAGCATGTGAAACTATTCTTACTGTTTTTATTCTTAGTGTTCCATGGTTTGGTTTCTAGAGTTTCAGTTAGTGATGCTTGTCCATGGGGTGATAACCTAATTTTCATCAGTGGGTTGATGCTCTGTCAACAGAGGAATGTCCTAAAGACCTATTACAGAATAGATATCTAATATGAGATATGTGGCAGACAAAAATGTCTGCGACAACACCCTGCAGAGTATTCATTGCAGATGACATGCTTGTTCATATAGGGGGGAAAACAGCTTTAAACTCAGATCTGTGAAGATGGATGGACCAAATAAGCTAAATAAGATACAACTCAGAGATATAAAAATATTTAAGAGATACAATGAGTAGCGTATTAGACAAATTATTGCCTATCATAGAAAGTAATTCATCATTGAATAAAAGTCTGATGCGTTGAGTAATTTTCTGGGACATATCACCACTTAATTTTGATTTTTGTTGAAATTTAGGGATTGCTAATGAGATTGAACTGGAAGGGAACCCTTTAGACCTGACTAGTAGAGCTGGTGCGAGAATTGATCAACAGGAGGTCTTGACCCAGGATACGCAGAAAGAGCCAGAGAGAACAGTAGAAATTGTTTTCTATTTAGATCCATCACAATGCTATCACTGTCTTCCCAGATAGTGACACTGTTTTAAAAAATTATTCAGTTAAAGTTTCTGGTATAATACAAACATGTGTTTGTAATCC